ACAAAATACAATAGACAATTACAATCAAATTAAGTACTTGATGAGTGGTTGGCATGAAAATGATACTGAATGACAGCATAACMTCGTCCAAGTTCATTTTCAGTAGTAAACTCAAATGGYATTTTTCATATTTTTATTAAAATTTCGATAAGAAAGCATTAATCACGACGTTGCATGAATGTAAGAAATCAAAATATCTAGGATTCCAACCCTTTGAAATGAATTTAAAATGTCCTACACACACAGTCAGTTACACATAGAATTCCATTAACATTGTACACTTGTAAAGACGCAAAGACGACAACAAAGTCATTTGCATATTATTGTTTTAAATTCTCACGGAGGAGTTTGATTTTCAACTCCAGACAATGCTTGCAAATTAAATGCTATTGACATTGTCATAAAGATTTGAAACTTGAGTTTGAATAATCTTGAAAAAATAAAAATATGATATATGTGCAAATGAYTTTTACTGTTGTCTTAGCGTCTTTACAACTGAACCCGGCCCTGTCTTGTGTGCTATTGTTTAAATATTAAGCCACATTAAGCCATATAAAGCTATACTAAGCTATATTAAACTATTTTCTAATATTAATCAGCATTAAATTGGCGCAAATTGACATGAATTAACGCCTGTCAGTAATCACACTGGCACAGACTTTTTCTGAATTTGTGGTGACGTCTTCTCATGAGTAGCCAGTCTTACAGCTGCTTGACTCTGCAAATTCATCAAAGACGAAGAAAGAAAGTTTCTTTTTAAGAATGAATTAGAATCAGGTCCGTTATTATTTGAAAGCTGACTTTCAGTGAGATCTTGACTGGGCGTGGCATCACACGTGTTTGCCTGGGGATCTCCTTCAACTGRTCGGCGGTGAGCAGTAGAATCTGCATCCATGCATGGAGGAGATAAGGGTTCTTCTGTGGTTAAAGTGGCATTGCTCTCTTCAGGATCAGTTGCACTTGTTAGTCTGTTAAATTCATCTTCAATTTGGCATGTTTGAGTTGCTATTTCTCTGTTTACGACTGAAATTAATAATGAACAAAAGTGAATATTTCTCATCGTCCTTTGTT